GCCCGTTCCACGTACCATTGGCCGCTCCAATAATTCATAGAGCCTCTTCTGATCACTCTGAAAGAGACGATTCTGGTTGAACCGGGTCGACCTCTTGGTATATCGCCGCATCCGCTTCCCCCAAGCAGCGATTCTCTGCTTCAGGTCGTCTATGCGTTCCGTTAGTTTTTGTGCTATATCCGGCTGGGCAAACTGATATTTGTCCCAACAAACGCCATCCTGACGGTGCGCACATTTCTCGGCCTATTATTGCCCGACCTGAAGCTTATCAGCCTGCCGATCAGGGCCCTTGCCTTTACGATACGGTCCTCAATCCTGCTTCTCCAGGCTGGGATGGCGCTACTTTGTCTAGTAGCGCGTCCAGCCGTGGAAAGTTTGGCGTCAATAATACGGCAAACTGCCAGTGCGGCGCCAAAAAAATTGAGTCCTTGTCGTAAAGGTCCCGGCTGGCTTCCTAATAGTTCACCAGCATTGGGTTGAGAGCCCTCACGACAGCCCGATTCCGCTTGCTTAGGGGTATGCGCGGGAGCCGCGGTCGATTTTCGAGAGGCGTACTGCGCGTTTCCACAATCGCCTTCTCCAATTTACTCCTCATCTGCTCTAGTTCTTGGGTGACCATTCCATCATCGCCTGAATCAACCAGAGCGGGGAGATCAATGGCGCCCTCTATATGTGGCTGCTCGTCTGTGGCCTGAGGAGCCACATCCCCAGCTATAGCCGGTTCATTCGATAAGGGAATAGCCTCACACCGTAGTCGTTCGAGTTCGGCATCATCATATATTTTCGAGCGTATGATGTACCGAACTCGGTCTGCCAGGTTTTGCTTTGTGACGGGAACTGACGACGCAAGCTCAGCAAAAAAGCGATGCATCCGAGCCCGATACGCTATCCCTCCACCTGCTTCCCCTTTCGCCCTATAGTACGCCCGCAATGCGTTTATGTTCATATTTTCTGTCCAACGCATGCGGCGTACTCCACCAGCGGCGGGTGCCGCTTGCCGAGTCCGAGAGAACCCCGCCGACACCAAGCCGTCTGGTGGGGATGATGGACGCGGCTGGCGGCCCACAGGCTGCAGCGTCCAGCGCTCTATCTCCAGACGCGCCCCGGCGACCCCCAGACAGCGGCCCTATGCGCGTTATATTTTTATCCATCATCCATTAAGTTGGGCGTCAATTAACGGGAGACGCCCAGACCCGGCGCCGTTTAATAGTGTGGCCGTAAGCACAAACGGGCCTTTGCACCCTCAATATTGCCGAGGCACGGCGCTCACACCTCTTGGCAAGGCGCTGACTGACTGCGCTGACATAGCAGTTTTGTCACTTAACTGTTACGTCAGCGGGCGATGGGGTCGTCACTTCCCTACGCCGCTATTATTATATTTGGGGTATCTATAAAGTTTTCTTATCTGGTTGGGCAGTATAAATATATAATTGTAAATGAAAATGGTAAACATACATAAATATGAATAAAACGGTGGTAGAGCCACGTAGCAGTTTTTGCTGTTGCATGTATGGGCCGGCTCGAGCCGGGTTGGTACTACGACCTCACAGAATACCGGCGTGAAGTAGAAGCTTTGCTTCTGCGTTTCGTCTGGTGAGTGCAGGTGGCCGGAGGCCTAATTCCCCCCCCCCCCCCCCCATCAACATGGTAGCGGAATTACACGAAGAACTACCCCAGGAGGGTACCAGCACCCCTGGAGAATCCCTCGCTGAGCATCCACGACCATGTTATGCCGATCCTGAGCGTGGGTGCTCAGGCTGCCCCGCGTATTCTGGGGGGGGCAAAATTCCGCTCAAAAGCATTACTGCTAGGGGCAAACTGAGCAAGAACACCAAGGCGACCCCTGCCACGCTATCCGTGAATTTCTGCAACATCAGGGGACTTCACTCTAACCTAAACGCCGTCCACTACCATCTCGAGACGGCGAAGCCGGCCTTGCTCTTTCTGACCGAGACGCATGTTTCCTCTCCGGCTGATATTTCGTATCTCTCCTACCCGGGGTACAAATTGGAGCATTCCTTTGTGCCTCGGGCTGGAGTTTGCGTGTATGTCCGAGAGGACATCTGTTCTCGACGCCTCGGCAGTCTTGAAGGTTCGGACCTGTCCATCCTTAGGCTACGCGTAGACAGCGACGACCATCCGTGCGTCTACGGGTGCCTCTATAGGTCCCATAGCGGTAATTCCGAAACAGACCGACTCATCGACCACGTCCAAATGGCTACAGATCTCTTGCTACAACAGGTCCCATCCGCAGAGATCGTGATCTTTGGCGATTTTAACGCCCACCATGCCGAATGGCTCGGTTCACGTCTAACCGATCATGCGGGGAGATCTGTTTATGACTTTGCCTTGGCATATGGTCTGACACAACTGGTTACTTCGCCTACGCGGATTCCAGATGTGGAGGATCATACACCTTCCCTGTTGGACCTTCTGCTGACCTCTCATCCGGACGGATATCAGGTTTCCGTCGATGCCCCTCTCGGCTCTTCGGACCATTGTCTGATCCGGAGTATGGTGCCACTCACGCTCCCTTCGCGGTTGCGTTCTGCAGGTTGCCGCCGTGTTTGGCATTACAGGTCGGCGGATTGGGACGGAATGCGGTCCTTCTTTGCATCCTACCCATGGGGGCGGGTTTGCTTCTCGCCGGATGATCCCAGCGCTGTTGCTGACTCTGTCACTGATGTGGTGCTACAGGGAATGGAACTATTTATTCCATCATCTGTGGTACCCATCGAAGGCAGATCTCAGCCTTGGTTTGGTCGCTCCTGTAAGACTGCATTACGCAGTAAGCAGGAGTGTTATCAAGCCTGGGCTGCGGCTTCGGCGACTCGGGATGTAAATACCAGCACACTTAAAAAGAAGTATAACTTCGCCTCCAGGTCCTTCAAAAGAGTTATTGCCAAGGCAAAGTCAGAGCACATAGGCAGAATTGGCGAGAAACTAGTTCGCCTTCCTTCGGGAACCCGTGCATTCTGGTCTCTCGCCAAGGCTGTCCAAGGGAATTTCTGTAAGCCATCACTACCATCTCTGCACAGGGAGGATGACTCACTGGCTCATGACGCAAAAGACAAAGCCGACCTTTTAGGCTCCCTTTTTGCGTCCAACTCGACTCTTGATGACGGGGGGAAAACACCGCCGACCATCCCGCGGTGTGAGTGCTCCATGCCGGATGTGCTGTTCTCACAGCGCTCGGTTCGCAAAGCACTGCTCTCCCTGGACATCCAGAAGTCGAGTGGGCCTGACGGAATCCCCCCAATTGTGCTGAGGACGTGTGCTCCGGAGTTGGCACCGATCCTAACGCGTTTTTTCCGGTACTCCTACTCCCAAGGCGTAGTCCCGAATTCATGGAAGACAGCTTTTGTCCACCCGATCCCTAAAAAAGGCGACCGCTCAGACCCATCCAACTATAGGCCTATCGCGATCACCTCCTTGTTCTCCAAAATAATGGAATCCATTATTAACTGCCAGCTCATCCGGTACCTTGAGGATCACCAGCTGATTAGTGACCGCCAATACGGTTTTCGTCGGGGTCGATCAGCTGGTGATCTTCTGGTCTACCTGACCCATAAATGGGCGGAGGCAATAGAGTCCAAGGGGGAGGCGTTGGCCGTTAGTCTGGACATTGCAAAGGCCTTCGATCGGGTTTGGCACAAAGCGCTTCTTTCGAAGCTCCCTTCCTATGGGCTTCCCGAGAAATTGTGCAATTGGATCACCAGCTTCCTTGTAGATCGGAGCATCAAGGTCGTTGTAGACGGTGCATGCTCTGACTACAAGCCTATTAACGCTGGTGTTCCACAAGGCTGTGTGCTATCACCAACGCTGTTTCTTCTGCATATCAATGATATGTTGCTAACTGGTAACATTCATTGCTATGCGGATGACAGCACTGGTGATGCTCTATACACCGGCCGTGCCAATATTTCTCGGGAAAACGTCGCTGAGTACCGGAACAAACTTGTGTCTGGAGTCGAGTCTTTGCTGAACAAAGTCTCGGATTGGGGCCGACTAAATCTAGTCCAATTTAATCCTCAAAAGACACAAGTTTGCGCGTTTACCGCTAAAAAGAACCCCTTTGTCGTATCTCCTCAGTTTCAAGGCACTCCCCTTCTTGCCTCAGCCAGTATCGGTATCCTCGGAGTCGACATATCGAGTGACGTGCAGTTTCGTGGTCACTTGGAAGTGAAGGCCAAATTGGCCTCTAAAAAGCTTGGCGTGCTCAGCAGAGCGGGACAGTATTTCATGCCGGCACACCGCCTGCTACTTTATAAGGCGCAAGTTCGGCCTCACATGGAATACTGTTCCCATCTCTGGGCAGGGGCTCCCCAGTGCCAGCTCCTTCCACTTGACCGCATCCAACGCAGAGCGGCTCGAATTGTCGACGACCGAGCCCTTTCAGATCGGCTCGATTCATTGGCACTGCGAAGAGATGTTGCATCCCTTTGCATTTTCTTTCGCATCTACCATGGGGAGTGCTCTGAGGAATTGTTCGGATTAATCCCAGCCGCCAAATTTCACGAACGCACATCGCGGCAGAACTCCCGATACCATCCACACCATCTGGATGATTGGCGGTCCACCACTGTGCGATTTAGAAGATGTTTTCTTCCTCGCACGACCTCCTTGTGGAATCGATTACCATCAGCGATTTTTCCGGACCGATACGACTTAGGGACCTTCAAGAAAAGAGCGTACTCCTTTTTTAAAGGCCGGCAACGCATCTGCGATTCCCCTGGTGTTGCAGTTGTTCATGGGCGGCGGTAGTCACTTACCATCAGGTGAGCCGCATGCTCGTTTGCCCCCTCTCCTATAAAAAAAAAATAATAAATAAAATAAATACATAAAAAATACATAAATACCGAGTGCTTCAAAAAAATGTATACACACTTTAAACTATTGTAGTTTTTCCGCTCTACAAGGCTAATGTTATATTTCTTCGCCAGGTGCCAGCATAATCGTCCCTCTATGTTATATTATCAGTTGGAATTTGTAATATCAACATGGGGGACGTACGTTTGAGTTTTGAAGAACGTAAGCAGGTTATTAAGTGGTACTGGAAGTTTGAGAATGTAAATGAAGTTCAAAGACAGTGGAGAAGGGAGTATGACACAGAACCACCTTCAAGATTAACAATTACACGCATACGAGACAAATTCGAAGTTCATGGAACAGTGTGTGATGTGCATAAAGGTCATTCAGGTCGGCCTCGAACAGCTACAAGTGATGAGTCATCAACGGCAGTCTTGGAACTGTTTCAACGCTCTCCTAACAAATCTTCAAGGCAAGGGGCACGTGAAAGTGATGTAAGTGCTAGCAGCGTGCTACGCATTCTGAAGAGAGGCAAGTATCGTGTTTACATTCCAAGGCTGGTGCAATAGCTAAATGACGACGATCCAGATCGAAGGTTGCAATTTTGTGAATGGATTCAGGAGATGGTGATACGTGAACCGGGATTTATGGGTAGCATCATTTGGTCGGATGAAGCCCAATTCAAACTTAATGGAACTGTCAATAGGCACAATTGTGTTTACTGGGGTGAAGAAAATCCTCACATTACAATTGAAAAAGCTGTAAATTTGCCTGGTATAAATGTGTGGTGCGGTTTGTCTTCAAGGGGACTCATTCGATTTTTTCGATTTGAAGGCACTGTAACTGGTATTAATTACCTAACAATGCTTGCTGATTCCATATTTCCTGCCATTCGTGCATTATACGGTAATGATGATTTTTATTTTCAACAAGATGGTGCTCCGCCGCATTATCACAGGGACGTACGAGCTTACCTGGATCAAAATTTGTCGGGCCAGTGGATAGGACGCAGGGGCCAATCGAGTTTCCAGCACGCTCTCCAGACCTTACACCACTGGATTTCTTCTTGTGGGGCACAGTAAAAGATGAGGTGTACAAACGTAAACCACGTAACCTAGACATTCTTTGGAATGAGATTCAAGCAGTGTGTAGAGAAATCTCATTGGACGTTTTGATACGATGTACAGAATCTGTGGTGACTCGTACTCAGAATTGTATTGATGCTGCAGGTCACCAATTTGAACAGTATTAACATTTGTTATTTATGTTTCATTTACATTGGACTTTCAGCTTTCTATTTTCCTGAAATTTTACTTTGTAGAACGGTAAATAAATTTTCTATGGAAGTTCAAAGTGTGTATACATTTTTTTGAAGCACCCGGTATATAAAAACCCAACCAGATGGAAGCCCTCGGCAGGGGAGACCAGACGGCCGAGGGTTAGGGGGGAAAGGGAAAGAAACCGGCGGACGATGCGGGCGGTATCGAGGAGCACCGCCTTCTGCATTTGAGCTTGGAGCGGTCCGTCACGGAGTCCCAGTCGCCTCAGATGACCCGAGAGGCTAACTGGGATTAACCCGTTCGCAGAAACGACCACAGGAATAATTTCGGCCGGCAGCCCACCCCACAGGTCGGTCACCTCGTGAGCCAGGTCCAGATATTTTGTCAGCTTATCTGTTTCGGCTTTCACGAGGTTCTCGTCATAAGGAATGGTAATGTCGACCAAAAATATCCTTGACTGTGCCCGGTCCATCAGCACAATAACAGGCTTATTAGCAAGAATAGTCCTATCTGTGATAATGGCCCGGTCCCAGTAGAGCCTGGCGCGGTCATTTTCGAGCACGGCTTCCGGCAAGTACTTATAATATGGCAGTTTTCGATCCACGAGACCGTATTTCAGAGCAAGCTCCTGGTGTAGAATCCTGGCTACTAGGTTGTGTCTGTGCAAATACTCAGAGTTAGAAAGCGCCGAACAACCGGAGATGACATGCCTAAGTGACTCACCGGGATGGCGACAAGCTCGACAGATGTCGACGGTGCCATCCTTTAGGATGTATCTCCGATAATTGTTGGTCTTAATAACCTGATCCTGTATTGCACAGACAAAACCCTCAGTTTCCCCAAAGAGGTCACTGAAACGTAGCCAGTGGAGGGAGGCGACTGTGTCTACGAAAGGCTCATGAAGGGCCTTGTAGAACCTCCCGTGGAGCTCCTTCTCCTTCCATACGGTCTCCCGGTCGGAAATGCTCTGTACTGCCGGGTCTTGCCATTGCTCGTTGGCTAAGGATAGAGGGGTTAGCCCTTTATCACAAGAAATAACGTCCCTATCGTATGGATCATCCGCTTTCGTCAGAAAGTAATTACGGAGGCTGCACACTTCGCGATTATGCATGATAAGCGCGCTTAAAAAGCCGCGCCCACCATGCTTCCGCGGCAAGTACAGCCTCATTACTGACGATCACGGATGATGCATCCTGTGGGACGTCATTATAGTGCGGACTTTTCTGTCCAGAGCGTTCAGTTCGGTCTGAGTCCACCTGAGTATGCCAAAGGTATACATGAGAACAGGCATGATCCAACAGTTATATGCGTGCGTCTTATTCACACCGGACAAAAGGCTATTAAGCACTTTGGTCAAGCGTGCATAAAACACATCGCAAACTGACCGTTTCATACCCGACTCATCTACACCGATGTTGTGTATTTTTTTTGTAGAAAAGTCATTAGGGCTTTAGGGTTTTATAAATAAAATAGGATGTTAAGCCAAATTGTATATTATTGTTCAGCATAAAAAATACAATTAACATTATTACGTAGTACTTAACATTACCAGTGAACCTACTTGCATAAATTTGCACCTAATCACTATTAATATCATCCCCTACATCTAAACCATTTCTTACCGACACATCCTGATACTGATATAAAAGCTGTGATACACAGGTGAAATAAATGGCAAAAGGTTTAATAGGTCCTTTTTTTCAGAATTTATAAGTTTACAATAAGGGTATAAAACTCTAGCTTAATACCAGATAAATTTGTAGCGTTCATTTTCCTTGTATCAACATTTTCAAGTAAAACTTTTCGAATATTTAAAGAAAATGGTGAACGGATGCATTTTTTTTAAAGAAAACAAAACATGCACCTAGCAATTTTGTTGTTGTAAGAAAGTCATCTTTTGTCATCTTTATGATATTGAATGGATTCTTATCTCTAGCTACCTTAATGACTGCAATCCAGTCATCTGGAATGAATATATTTAACAAAAAAACTTTGGTCACAGGCAAGTTTGTAGTGTTATGCTACTTACATATCATTTTACATTATTTTAAATTCATTTTTCCATTCTGTTTCGATTTTCTGCATTCACCTCAAAACTGGATATTTTACATCACCTTTATTTCCATAGGATCCTGTAACGATTTTAAACCATAAGAACACAATAACAAATCATTTCTACTTCGTATTTTCACATTATCAGCACTTTTAAATTGGTGTCAATGGAGTCTACCTTTTTTCGATCTTTTAGCTAGTTTTCCGTAACTCTACAATCTCGGGTTTTGTGTGGGCAGCTGCGCTACCTTTTTTCCTATATCAATAATATCTCATTTTCCACTTAAATCTTACCGTTTTCTTATTATAAACCTAAAACCAAAATTTGATATGTTTTGACATTGTTATTTATTTCGTTTCCATAGTAATTATATTCAAATTTGCTACCGATCTGTTGTTCATATTTCGATAATTCCACATAAATACTCTTTTCTCTTGACCATTTACAAAAAATTTGCGTTTAATTTAAATAATTTTTCCGTTCTCTCTAGAAAGGTATAAAAGCCGAACAATCGGTGAAGAAAGGCAGTCTCGCTTCAGTTCGCGAATTGGAAGTATCTCCTAAAGGCCTTATCCCGGGGCCGCACTGCCCCGGAATCCTGCAAGCCTCCACCTACACGTGTAGTCTTCGGCGAAGCCTTCTTCAAGCGCGGAGCCGCACCACTCCGGAATCGTACAAGCCTCCATCTACCTCGGAAGTCGTCGGCAGTCTACTTCAAGCGCGGGGGCCACACTACTCCGGGCGCTACGACTGCTTACTCCAGGCGCCGAGTGCACTTACCGCCGGCGCTACCTTTGGGCGCTGCAACTGCTGGCTCTAAGCGTTGAGCGCACCTACTCCAGGCGCTACGTGCGCCGGCTCCGGACGCTGCGTGTGCTGGCTCCAGGCGCTGCGTGCCGTCGCTGCTAAGAAACCTACCTCTACAAGCGCAATCGGCGTGTGCTGGCTTCAGGCGCTGCGTGCCGTCGCTGCTAAGAAACCTACCTCTACAATCGCAACGTGTGTCGCTTCGACTTTTAGGCTCCACTACAATTCTATATTCCCCTATTCTCCTACCTTTATTTTTTTTTGTAATCTAATTGTACTCTCACTTCATTCATCATCATCCTCATTTCATTTTTTTATAAAATTGTAAATATCTTTGAATTTTGAATATATTTTTGTTTTTGATGTATTTTTGTTGTTTTGTTGTTCTTAGGTTAGATTTATTATTGTCGCTTCACGACAAGTTATGAGTGTCCGCTGACATAGAACTTATGATCTATGTTCTCAACCGTATAATCTGGATAGGCAACGATATACTAGCAAAGGTTAGCCATTTTAATATTTATGTTTTGGCCACCACACCGGACTGTGTAGATAATTAGGTCATTAGTGCTTACTTTCTCTTTAATGTAACACAGCAGGCAAGAACCTACTTCCTGCAGACCCCTTGAGGCTATAGTTTCATTCCAAACACACATTGTTACTTCATAGTTTTGTACATTATGGATCCCTAAGCAATACGTCCCAAGCTGTCTTTTGTAATAGGTAACGCCAGTAGAAACAACAGGAGTAGGTAAAGTTTTATGAGATTAAACACCATGACCGTTAAATCGGAATCAGCTTCAACCTGGTATCTGATCCTTATTTAAATTATTTCTTGTAGATTCAGTCTTTAAATGATGTAGGTTCATTTGAGTCTCAGGCGTTTAAAACATTCCATTAGTGCTTTTATGCAAGGTATAATGAGACTCATATTTAGCAAATCTGTTGATAAAGTCCTGGATTGATTGCAGTTTGTGCTCTGGAGTTTTATTTGAAAGCACAAGTTTCCCTCTTTGATCAATAGTAGGTGTAAGAGTTATTAATTTATTTTTCAAAACCAGGTGGTATACCAGCTATAGTTCTAAAGGCTTGTGCACCTGAGTTGTCTCCTGCTGACACGCTAGTTCCGTCTCTCATTTTGGACTGGAATAGCGCCAAAATCCTGGAAACTGGCCAACGTGCAGCCTGTTCCAAAAAAGGCAGCCGTGCCGACCTTGCCAATTATCGGCCAATCTCAATTACCTCCATACACTGCAAGATTATGGAACGTATATTGAACGCCCGCTTAATGGCATACCTAGAAGAGAATGATCTCCTTAGTCACCGGCAATATGGGTTTCACCGAAATCGGTCAGCTGGGGACCTTCTAGTTTATGCCACACACATGTGGGGCGAGGCACTCGAGAACAGTGGGGAAGCACTTGCTGTT